GATGTCGGCTCGGGCCCTTGCAATATTTGGAGGTCGGACATGCTTAATCGAGGAAGCCCCATCAAAATACATCTTCCAAAATTGTAATTTGTCCTCTTCGTCAAACTGCATGATTTGCTCATCAGATAAATCATCGTTGAGTGGAGAGTCTTCTAGATGGGATGTGCAGTGAAAAAATCTGCTAAGGCTTGTTCTTTCACCACCTTTTATGTCATATATGTGATATCAAACTATAGTAGTAATACTGCCCACCTGGCCAGGTGACCTATCAACACTGGTTTTATCATCAAGAACTTCAACGGATCAATCTTTGATATCAGGGTGATTTTATGAGAAAGCATATAGCGACAGAGTTTCTGAATTACAAAAATCAATGTCAAACAATGCTTCTCAATTAGGAAATACCACACTTCTACTTCGATTAATCTTCGACTGATGTAGTATAGTGCCTTCTCATTTCCTTCTTTATTATGTTGGGCCAATAATGCTTCGAGGGACTCTTCTAGTGCTGTCGTATACAGTATAAGAGGCTTCCTCAGAATTAGTTCTGTGAGAATGAGCAGGTTTAACAAATATCTTTTGATACTATTACATGCTTCTTGTCATTCTTCATCTCACTTGAAACGAACATCTTTCTTCATCATCTTTGGAAATGGATGGCACCTACCCAAAAAATTTGATATGAACCACCGGATAAAGGCCAGTTGCCCTTGTAAAGAACAAAGTTGGCAAAGATTTCTAGGAGGCGGCATCTCCATGATTGCTTTTAACTTATTAGGGTCAATATCGATATCTCGGTGACGAACAATATACCCTAAGAATTTTTCGAAGGAGAGCCCAAAAGCATATTTGAGAGGATTCATCTTTAGATCATATTTTTTGATCCTTTCAAATACAATCCTTAAGACTTCCAGGTGATCTTTCGATCTATGCTGTTGAGAACCAGGTCATCCACGTAGCACTCAACCTTTTGATGAATTAGCTCATCAAAAATTCGTGTCATTACATGCTGATAGGTGGCACCAGCGTTCTTCAGGCTAAAGGGCATGACTGTATAGTAGAAAATGCTGATAGGCATTCTGAATGATGTATATGTTTCATCATTAGGTGCCATTTTTATCTGATTATAACCTGAAGATCCATCCATGAAGGAGAATATATCATAGTTGGATGTGTTGTCAACCAAAAGTTTTGATACTGGGAGCAGAAAGTCATCGTTTGGAAATGCCTTATTAAGGTCCTAAAAATTGATATAGATACAAATCTGACAGTTCTTCTTCTTCACAGTGATAATATTGGCGATCCAATCGGCATACTTTTCTTATCAAATAAGCCCGCATCTATGAGCTTCTTTGACTCCGCATCACCTATTTTTTCAATTTCCAAACTCATTCTTCTTGGAGCTTATTTGACGTGTACTGCATTTGATTTGATGGCTAATCTGTGAACAACTATATCAAAGAATAAGCCGGGCATCTCAGCATATGTCCAGGCAAAGCAATGGTAGGAGAGAACTAATGAAGGTTGGGTGAGGGTCCTCCTCAGTTCTCAAGTTGACTTTTTTTTAGTTCATTCATAGTGTGTGACTATCCACCATCTTCAAGTTCTTCTAGTGTGAGCTTGGCCTCTAAAGGTTGATCATCATATGTATCAACTTCGTACACCTTATCACCATTATCATCATCAAATTTAATTTCCCCACTAATGATTGCTCGGCAAATCTCCTTTTGGGGGCGCTTCCGTATAATAAATCCTATACCCTTTTTCATGAAAATATCCTTCTTCTTTATTAAGTGTAGATTTCTTCGATACTAGAGGCTTAAGAAGAAACAAACTTGTTGTTTGGAGGAATAAGTTTTACCTTGCTTTCGTAACATTCTTTAGATATTTCTGGTAATGTACCTGTGAAATCTCATGGATACTAATTCCTCAAAATCAATGAGTGTATGGAACCAATCATAATTTATTTCTTCTTTGAGTTTCCCGATTGAATAAAATAGACTAGCTGGTCTACCCTTTTCTTTTGGGGGAGGTACATAGAATGTCACGAGCTCTTCAACATTATGCACCGCTCGAGGAATGACTTCCTTGAAGTATTACAGGGGAATACGTGTGACTACGAGTACACTATATGAGATTGACAGACTATCTATTCTTTTGAAAAATACATCATGCATCATGTTCATGTAGATAGAGACGTAGTCATAATCATCATTTGAGTATTTAACTTCCCTACTCCATTTGGTCGTTGTCTGGCATATTCTTTGAGATTTGGTAGGTGTGATATCATCTTCATCCATGTCACTCCCTAGGTGAGGTATGTATCTTTTTTCTTTAGGAATGGTCGGTGCTTTAGGAAGAGTCAGCATTGCCTTCTTTCTCCCCACCTACTTCTTCTTATTTTATTGTTTAGGTTGCTTTGTAGTTTTTGAGTTTGATGCTTGGGCCTCAAGAGAGTTTGATGGCTTCAGCTTCTTTGGAATGAAGTATTTAACATCTTAATATATCTTTATTTCATGTACTACAAAGGGCTAGATGTCACTAGATATTCTGAATTCTTCTCCATCCCCGAAATACTTCATACATTGTTATAGTGTTTACGAGATGATGCCATACTCATGCAGCCAAGGATGACCAAGGAGCGCCATAAATGTAGTATCTATGTCAATCACATGAAATTTGACGTCTGTATGAAGTTCTCCAAATGCGAGGGAGAGTGTAAATTATTTTAGGGTCTTCTTCCCTTTCTTATTAAATCCATGTACCATCAAATTATCTGACCCAAGATATTCCACATCGAGGCACAACGATCTCAGCACTTTCAAGCTCATCAGATTTATGGAGGACCCTGGATAAATTAGGATTCGACTAATCATCATCCCATCACTTTCTACAGTCACATATAGAGGGAGATTATGATCCGTCATTTTGAGCATCATATCTTCTTCAGTGAAAGTGATGAACGACTCATTTCAAGCTTGGAAGATCTCTATCATATTATGCTCAGAAAAATATGCCTCGTACCTTTTGGGGTCTTGCAGAGCTTGAATCAAAGTCTCCCGAAGGTCTTTGGACATCACTAAAGCATTGTATATGCTGAGTTGCATGAGAATTTTTCTCATATGGGATAAGACATTATAATCTACCCCCTTGGCCGAAGTATCTTTCTTCTTGGAGTTTTTGAGGATGATATCTTCATTTATAACTATCTCCTTCCCCTTATCTTTATTAGAGACCCCTTTTGTCGGTGGAGGCAAGAATATCTTACCACTCTTTAGTTGCACTTGATCGACCTCCTCTAGCTTAAATTCATTTAATGAGATATTTTCTTTAGAGTCATCCATTGTTGCTTCCAGGGATTCATCTATTTATTCAGAGTCACCACCCAGGTTTATCTGTCCCATTTGTGATGCTATGTTGGGGTTTATCTCATATGTCTATAGAAAATACAGATCCTCCTCCAAACTGTAGTCCATTGGCAACATTATCATGTAGAATTTAGAGGATACTTCTTCAATGTATTCCTTTTATACGCGTATTTAACACCACTGAGATAACCTAACATACTTATGCGAGAAAAGAATTCTCATCACTTTCTTTAGGTTCCTCTATTTTAAGCTCTGACATGAAGTCAGTGAGCTTGATAGGTTGCCTCACAGTCTGGTAGTATTCATCTAGACTGTCAATAACCCTTTGAGTTGTAGTTTTTTTCTCATTGGGCTTCTTTAACTCGGTCTTTCTTTTGGAAGATCTCATCCTTCCAAGCTTCGAAGTGTCAGCATGGTTAGAGAATTGTTTAGAAGTAGAAGCTCGTACTGCAGGCAGTGCCTTCAAATCTATCTTTGGTTCAATAGGAGACTTTCACTTTACATCTAAAACTTCTTTAAGCTGCTTCAATATTTTCACTATTTTCTTGGAGATTACAGTCTCCCACTGCTCTTCTTAAGCTGGCTTCTTTTCATTTATTCTTTCTTTAGCTAGGGATACATAAGAGGGTGTAACCACCCGAGTTGATTCTTTCCTGGGATGAGTCAACACATTATTAGATAATGTGAGTTCTCCTTTTTGGTACTTTCTTTCAAGCCAATTATTAAAATTATAATAATCTTAAATAGGATGGCTGACTACTCGATGATATGGGCAAATAATTTGGGTCACCAGTGTACTTCGACTCTTCGAGTTTCTTACATTTAGGCAATTCTAAACATGTTTTTAACACCTGTCAAAATAATTTGGCAACACTCTCCCTCTTGAATGAATATTCTTTATTCATTTTATCTTTGAGAAATTGAAATGTTCTATCACCAGTTCCTATTGCCTGTCTTAGGCATTCTCCTCTACCTTGAAAGGTTCGTGGCCTATCATTTCCCCTAATATCAGCTTTGGTTGGGTTTAGGGTTGTAGGTCTTCTTGGGCTTTTCTTCATACTGCATTGGTTGCTTTCCTTTGTCTAAATTATAAATCACTTGCTTTTCTTTATTAGCTCTAGAGAAGAATGTAGAGTCGGCCTCACCCCTTCTAGCACCCAGGGCCTTAGCCTTCTTGGGCATATCAGAGTAATTTTTTTATCTCAATAAGTTCAATTTCTCAAACTTATCCACTCTATCCAGCAGACTTTGAAATCTTGTAATTATAACCATGCACAAGAAGGGTTATATTTTGTCATCAATGTTGCCCATTAATAACTACACAGCATGCTCTTCTTCTAATTGTTTCTCATATTTCATGCTTAAGTTACGCCAGCGAGTGATTGTTGACCTCATTTTTGTATGAGGTCACTAAGGCCCTTCCAAACTCCAGATTAATTCTAGATCCTAGGATCCACTCTAGGCCTTAAGATCCTTTCCTAGAGCCAGACCTTAGGTCCTACTTTAGAGCCTAGGGTTCCCTTAGATCCTAGATCCTAAAACCCCTCTAGATTTTGGAACCAATTTAGACTCAAATCAATTCCTACCCTTGATCAACGCAAATTATTTTTGAAAACTTACAGTAGCAGTCTCCAGGAGACAGGCCTACAAGGTTGAAAATATCCCTAAAGAACATGGAAAGAACAAACATTAAAAAAGCTTTAGAAATATAAATATAAGGAGCCTAAGATCAAATAGAAAATTAAAAAAGAATGTACCACAAGCCATGGTTTTTAAAAATTGCGCAATATGAAGGCTCGCCTTGAGGCCCGCCCTTTGGTGCAATTCCAAAAACCAAAAAAAAACCGCCCTCGATGCTTACGCCCTCGAGTTTTGTTATGAAGCTTGCGCCCCTCCAACTGGTTGAGGCCCCGCCCCGCCTCACTGGCATGAGGCTTACCACCTCACGCTAATATATTTAAAAACTTACATAAATCTTTGAAGTAAATACCAAGACATTGGACTCTATAGGAGAGGAAGGAAGGAGGAGAGCACAGTTCATCATTAATGATGATTCAAATGGAAGAACCCCCTAGGATTGACAGTGCTGATGATTTATGAGTTATTATGTGAGTATGTCATTGCTATTTATTTTAGAAATTGGAATTATATTTAATGAAAGGAACACTGGGATTGCGGAAAGAATAAGAATTTTGAGTTGAACTATATTTCATGTTGTCTTATTATTGTGAATATTTTTGTTTCACTTCATCATCTTATGCTTTTATGTTTTATATTATTCACTCATAGTATTTAAAAAAATTATCATTTATGTTTTACGCAATCTTTTTGATTTTGAGGCTTACGCCTCAGAACGCCTTGAGGCTTACGCCTCGCCTCACAAATTGTAAAAACGCCTCAATACCCGAATACACAATTTCTAAACCATTGCCCACAGCTATCATAGCTGGACATCCCAATAAAGAATCAAATGGAGAAAAGAGATCTCTATACACCAATTGAGATAAGAGTGCAAACTCACCAATCCCTTGTAATACAATGACAAACATTGCTTGCGCTTAACTTTTTTTCTAATTGACCAAACATTACTATGGCTTAACATTATCTACTTGCCACTAATCTATGTAGCGGATGTTGATATTTTCAATCTGATAACAATTATTTTTTTGTTAATGGCATACTCAGATTTCCAAGAATCTTTCCATTTTTCTCTATCTGGTTGTATTTTGGCGCATTAATTTTAAATATTATTTGGGGATCTCAGCAGTATGCCAATATGGGGATGTCTACCGAATAAATATTTAAAATGCGCCCAGTTCTATAGGGACATTTTGTTAGATGTTCCATTTAGGGGATGCTTCTTCTCGTGCTTTAACTTGGTCTTAGAGATTCCTAATTTTTTTACACTGATGTTTAATGTTGAGACATTGATTGGGAATTATCTGATATTTATTTTACCAGACCTTGTCAAGTGGGTTTTTTTTTTACCCTTCGACCTATGCTTCTTACCTTTTGCGGCTTATATGAAGAAAGAGATGTCGGTCACCTATAAATCCTTAAGTTTGTAATTGGTCACGGGCTGAAGAAGTCATCGTCAAAAGCTTTGCGCATAGCGAACTTATTTATGATGAAATTCTTCTTAGATTCAGTGTAAGGCTTTATGTGAACTTTGGGTAATTCTCTAGAATAATCCGTACCAGCCTTTTTCGTTAGGATTTTACCGTTTATTTGTTTATAGTACCCATAAGAGTGATTCCTAACTTGAGAACTTTACGAGATTGAGTACAGACGTGCCGATGTATTGTCCTTGCGCTGAGATGTCCTTCACGGTCCCTAGTTGAAGGTAACTTGGAGCATTTGTTTGTTGAATACCGACCTTGTACATCCATTCGATTTCATACTTTGAGCTATGGGAATTGTGCTTTTCCAATGCTAATTTTACAAAAAGTTGTAGATTTTTGAAGTATCCTTTATGGTTGAAGAGATTTAGAAAGCCTACGCACATTCGGTGTGGTTTGTTCGAGATTTCCCCCTCGTTGGAACTTTCATCTCCGGTCAATTTGGGAGAATTTGGGTGGACCTACGACTAACTTTGAACTTTTTTCTAGGGATGCAAAATTAATCTTCGTATTCATTCCTAAGATCTTTACTAACGCGGTTGAACGAAGATGGGGTCCGCTACTAAGGATCGTTCTTATTGGGCCTTGTTTTTGAGTAGGAAAAACGGGGACTGCGCCTCCGGCGACCGACTATAATTTGAGCTTGTTAGATCCGCACCCCCCCCCCTCCCCCCCCATTTACAAACCATCTTCGAACACCTTAAGTTTTAGCCTAATCGAAAAGACTTCAAGCTTTTTCTAGGCTCAATTTGTAGCGACGTTGTAGCCACAAATGTCTCTTTCTTGACTTTTTTGAACTCTTGTTTGAATTGAAGAAATGTGTTATCTCGATCTTTTGAAAGATCGTACCTGGCATATACTTTTGAAAAAGACTTTGTTCGTATCTCTTCAATATTAGAAAAATATTTTGTGGTTATAATTTTTAAATATTTTATTTGATGGATATTTAGCATGACAGCACATGTCGACCAGAGTTAAATAATATTAAAAATGCCCCTATCTCACAAGAGACATTTTAGAGGCAAGAATAAATTTGAAATTTTTAGATTTGTAAAAAATTTATTGGAGTCTCAGGGGCATAATACAATATGTCCAACCAAATAAATATTTATAAATGACCCCTCTTGTTAGGTAGAGATTTTAAAAAAAAGTTTTGGTATTTAAGAAATTTTAAATATTATTTATTCAGGGATCTCAGGCATATGACACCGTTGTCAACAACCGAAATTAAATATTTAAAAATGCCACCCGTCTAATGGGAGAATTTTTTGAAATGCATTCTTACTATAAAAGAGAATTTCAAAATATAAATAATGAAGCATAGCAATTGATAACTATGCACATAAGCTTTGATCATTATAAGTACATTAGACAAAAATTTTCCATGCATGAATACTTCTTTAAAATGTCGGCTGTTGATCGCGGCATGGGCCTACGTCCGAGCCAAAGAATGATCAAACTATAAGTCTCCTCCTTGTAACCCTTCTCGATGTGAAAAGGGGGGACCTTCACAATTAGATATGAAATTTGCACCCAGATTTTTTCGGTGTGTGACTGATGGGTTCCACATCATACAATTATCCTACTTCTTGAAATGATCCGAGCGAAGCACCATTCGATCGAAGGATTTTTGTCATCTTCTTCTCGATAAGATTTTTCATGTTTTGTTGAGATTAAGTAACCTGAAAGTTCATCAAGTACGTCGAGTTCTTCCATTTCTCATGCTGAGCATTTGCTCTAAGTGAGATTTTTCTGCATCGCTTACTTCGAAAGTGATTGTAATATCAATTTTAATGCTAATTTACATTACTTCAACTACCGGAACACTAGTTAATAAGGAGATGGCTCTTTGTTTGTGTTTTGTACTTGGTATGATAATGCCCACAACGGCTTCTGCCGATCATTCGGTATTGCCACTCTCTTTTATTCTTTTGGTGAGGATCTTCTTCAACAATTCACCACTTGTTGAAGAGTCTCTGCCCAAGTCAAATTTGCTCTCGGATTTATAATGGATGAATACGCCAATCAAATTTTATGCCGAATCAACGAACTTTATATAATTTTTGTGACTTTTGAATGAAGTACCATTGTCTGAGATTAATGCGACCGTGGCACAAACGCAAATCTTGTAGACAAAATTGTGAGTAAAGAAATTTGATCACATGCTATGGATGTGACTTTCTCTGACGGAGCTTGCTAGTCTTGCCCACTTTAAAAAAGTAGTCTGCTGTTTTATCAGAAAAAAGCATGTCTCGTGAATTGAATGGGGGCATCTAATCAGCCCGATTATATTATGTACCCCAGCATTCAAATGGTTCAGGAGACTACTAATTGGGTGAAAGTTGGAAATTTGGGGTGTCTGATCCTATAACCATTCATTTATGAATCTGACCACTCATAGACACCTCTATAGTCGATAGGTCAATTACAATCTCTTATTATGGTCGGCTCAATAGTAACTATATACTTTTTTGATTTTAAACGGCATATTTTTTGAGATTCTTTTTATGGATGAAATGCTCCTCCACCCAAAGCCCTTTCCGTGGACTTTAATCTACCACTTACAGCTTCCTTAGTCTTAGGAATTGCATACCTCATTTGATTAATGCGTCGTCAGATATATAGCGTGTCGTAACAAACGTATATTCTTGTATACGCCTTTTTAATTTTGTTGCGCTATAGATTTATCCATCATGGGATTTATCTTTTCTGTGGTATACTGTCAATGAACGATTGCCTCTCAAATCATCTCCTTCTTCAATGTCTATAGCAATGATATCCATCGACTCTCGAGCCATCTGCTGGTTTACTTAATCTCTTTGACTAGTATGACGTCTTCTTATTTAGGACTTGGAGGTTGCAAGATCACCAGGCGTTGTCTCTTGCTGGCATTGAAATCTTAGCATTCTCTCTCGCCCGCGAGACATGCAAGATTGCCAGCTAGGACCCGACAGCGTGAACCATAATTGTAAAGGCCATCTCCTCGTCGGTGTTCATACATTTGGCAACTATCTGCTTAGAGTTTGTGATTCTAAGCCCAATTGTTGCGCAGTACGTTAAACTGAACTTGCAAAGACTTGTCATTTATCTTCGCACGTCAAAAGCTTGGCTCGCCGAATTGAGTTAATTCAGTTGTCATATAAATTGTCTGACTGTTTTTCAGTGTGGATCACCAAGATAGAGATTACAAATATACGATCTCCTCGATAGACTGTGCTTATTGTTGGGTCGAGGTCGGTATTGAATATCACCCCCAGGGTACGAAGAGACGATCGCTGCACCTTTGTGGTGGGCAGTTTTAAGATAGGACCGTCATACTTCCTCAAAATGATAGCTTTTTCGTTCTCTCGACTGCAATGAGTTGTATTCATCAGAAAATCATCATTGAGCGGAGAGTCTTACCGGGATATAGGTATGTGCGACTAAGAAAAATCTGCAAAGCTTGTCCTTTTCACACCCTTTTGTCATATGTGCTGATATCCACTGCCAGTAATAATATGCCCACCTCATGACTAGACGACCCTGTCAACGCTGAGTCTTGTCAT